AGGCTCTTGCTGGCTTCCTCCTTCTGTCTGGAGCACCTTACCATCTGTCTCTGTTCAAAGACAGCCTTGGACGGGGAAGGACACAGACAGGAAATTCTTTTTATTTAACCCCAAATCCCTTAGGCTGCAACTTAAGCTTATTTCCTCATTTTGCAGCCTGCGGAGATGAAAAAATAGCTTGTCATGGCTCTACCTGTCCTATACAGTCTGTGAAGTTATGTCCCAAGGTTCTCTCTACTAGGCATCATTCCTTTTGGACTGATATTTGGGTTTGTCCTTTTTTCTTTAGAGATGCAGTTCATGGTTATATAGCTTTAAAGAATGTACCCAGTGTCATCTTCATTAGAGGAGAATACTGAAAACTATTTCAAAAGGTCATGTGCTTTTTGTTTTCATGTGCATCCTATGTAGCAGAGAGGATGGTCTACGGTTCTAAGAATACTTAAAGATAGATAAGGACCCAGTTCTCAAATCTCATCTTACGAAACACAGAACCGAGAATACAGCTGGCAGAGCCTGAAGCCATGTTGACACTCCTTATGCCTCTGTTTCACATTTAAGGATTGCACACATGAGACCTTTAAAATGGTGATTGGAAAGAGAGCAAATCTTTACACTTCTAGGCCCAAGAATAAGTTTTCTGTCAAGTATTCTAAGTTGATTCACACTGATCTGCACCTGCCTGAAGGATTGTTCCTTAGTTAGATGCTGGTTGGAAGATTTCACTCAGAACTGAGGCATGGGGGTTGGGGGCCGGGAGGGGCTGGATGACCCGCAAGATTGCCTTTTATCTTCTAACCTGCCCTCCTGTTGGTCTTTTTGTCCAGTTCTCTCCGAATTAGTCATGAAGCACCAACATAATTAAAATTAATGTTTAATTGATATTAAAACATCAATTTTAATATCAATGTTGCTGGGAAGTCAGGAAATGGAAATAACTCCTAATCAACTAAGTATTTTGCTTAACTGACCCAGTTTGTATGTGTGTGTGTTGTGGGGGAGGGGATGGGAGGAGAAGTTATTGGTATATTGGCCTAAGGAGTTTCGAGAAGCTTAAATTTAGGACTGGTCTTATAAGGAGATTGATGTAAGGTTGCCTCTAAGGTCTGGTTTCAGGATCCCCAAAAGGCCTTTATGTTGAAAAATGATCGTTCTAAGGCCTAAAATGTCACTACTAGAAAGTCATGCCTCTGGTTTAAGGTTTCCTAGTAACAGTGCAGATGCTCCTGTGAGAGCACATCATTCACTTATTCCATTCCTTCCAGAGAGAGGGGACAATGAGGACAGCCAGCACAAGGGGAAGTGACCTTGAGGGGAAGGGACAAAAGTGCCTCACTGAAAGGAAAACAGCAGGGGAGGGGAGGGTGGAAGGAGTGGTAAACACAACTTTGGAGGCCTCACAATTTGTGTCAGGACAGTAAATGCCCGAGGATATGGCCATTGGTCATTTATAATCAGGAACCAATTCTGAGGGCCCAGGGACTTTGAAGAGCTGGGCTTTGGAGTCGGTCAAAGCCATGCTTGCAGTTGACTCCACCCCTGGTGCATTTGTGTGACTCTGGGCAATTCACCTACACTCTCTGTTCTGGGCCTTGATTCTGTTATCTAGAAGGAGGATGTACTGCCCAGGGTGTGTGTTATGAGCACCTCTTGCAGTGTATATTTAAGTGCTCAGTGCTTGGTTAACGAGACCAATTTTTTTTTGATGCCTGAAGTTCGAGTAACTTTATTTAAATTGAAAAACAATGCTTAAAACTACATTTAAAGTCAAGACTCTTTTGTCTTGTAAAAATCACAAGTATTTATAAGTAAGGCAAAAAAGTATTAGGTTAATACTAATTTGACCTTGGACTTGATTCTTTAAACAAATTGTAGAGAATAGAGGAAAAAACAGAAAACAATATTTAATATGTAGTCAAAAGTACAAATTTGGTGACAGAAAAGAAGAGTTTGGTTTTGTTTTCATGGATTTTTTTTTTTTTTTTTTTGAGTTGGAGTCTCACTCTGCCGCCCAGACTGGAGTGCAGTGGCCACTCCCGGCCACCACAGCCTCGACCTGCTGGGCTCCGGCGATCCCTCTGCCTCAGCCTTCCAAGTAGCTGGAACTACAGGTGCGCGCTACCATGTCCGGCTAATTTTTGATTTATTGTAGAGATGAGGTCTCGCCAACTTGCCCAGGCAGGTCTCGAACCCGCAGGCTCAGGCAATTCACTCACCTCGGCCTCCCAAGGCGCGGGATTACAGGCTGAGCCAATAAGCCCGGCCTGTCTTCATGGATTTTAAGAATGCCTAAGATCATTCTTCACCCTCAGTCTCAGGAGCCATGAGGTACTTTGAGTGTCCCATATCAGCAGTTTTATGCTGTACAACAAGGGGCACATGTGCAGACATCCTGGGTATTACCATAGAAGAAAGTGGAGTGACTTTTGTGAAGAGGATCAGGTGCCTCGGTGCAAAAATTAGCTGAACTGGCTCATTCATCTCTACGGTAACAGCTTTCTCCTCCTTATCAACATTAGTTGGCACATGGTGGACACTCCATAAACCCTTGGCCCATCCATGTCACACTCTCATTTTCATATGTTTTGGAGTAGATATACTCATATATCATATGACCCTTTTCTTAACATACAAATGCTGGCCCTGGGCAAGAGTGAGTTGAGACACACAGTCTATGGCACTTGATCACCTCGAATGGGTGAGAAGATAAAATGATTTGCATGAGATTTTGGCAACCAGAGATGTATTTCCCCCTCTTCCCTTCTTTCCTCTGTTCATTTCATTGGAGCTTCTTGCTGGGTTTGAATGTCTCTCCTTATGCTGGGCTGGTGCATCCATTTGAATGTGGGTTTTCCTGTGAGTTGGAAATGATCCTGTGCTGTGTCCAAGGACAAATGCAAGGCAGAGCAGGGAAGAGCAATGGGTATATTTATTATTTGTTCTTCTTTTTCCTGTATCAGTAATAAGAGGAAATCATTTTCAGCTGTGTGCTGATTGGATCACTGGTGCCAGTAGAAACTGTGACAGTGTTTGGGCTTCACGGGTCTCAGACTTCAGAATATCTGCTCAAGATCTAACTTTTCTTAAGAGAGGTTTGGAATTGAACTGTAAAGAAAAGCACTATTTGTATATTTATTTGTTCATTTTCTTTCTTGGGTAAAACATCGAACCATGAGCTCCTCTTTGTAGTTTTTTGGATACCTTGCTTTGCTTCTACACACCTTTGGGGACCTGGGAATGATTCCTGTTGAGGTTTCAGGTAGGAGAGGAGGGTAAATGAAAACTAGAGAAGAGTCACCGCTATTGCTATTTTTTTTTTTTTTTTTTTGAGTTGGAGTCTCACTCTGTCGCCCAGACTGGAGTGCGGTGGCTGCTCCTGGCCACCGCAGCCTCAACCTGCTGGGCTCCGGCAATCCTTCCGCCTCAGCCTTCCGAGTAGCCGGAATTACAGGTGCGCGCTACCATGCCTGGCTAATTTTTTAAAAATTTTATTGTAGAGATGAGGTCTCACCTGCCCAGGCGGGTCTTGAACCCGCGGGCTCAGGCAATCCACTCACCTCAGCCTCCCAAAGGCACGGGATTACAGGCTGAGCCACCGAGCACGGCTCATTTTTAATGCACAGAAAGTGACTGGTGTGCCGTCCTTCTAGTCTTCCCAGCTCAGATTTTCCCAGAGAGCATGAGGTAACTTACCTGTGGTTTCTCCACAACAGGTTGACAGGAGCCTCACACCTGGATCTGGGAGGGAATGCCTTGTGGATTTTTGTCTGTGTTCCTAGTCTAACATCATGCTTTCATCTCTGAAATGGACATTCTTTCTCTAATGCTTCAAAAATCCTCAAATCTATACTTTTTTCTCCCTTGAATTTCTCTACAGAGTTCTCTTTTGCTAATTGTTTAACTCCAGAGGCAGTGGGGAAGTTTTGGGAGGAGTGAATGATATGTGTTGGAATCGTCTGTGTTAATTCTATTCAGAATTTTCATCCAAATTAGAATCACATTCTAACCAATGTGTGTGTCATCATGAAACATTCTCCTCTCCTTTCTTCTTCGATCAGATTCTAAATGCATTTTTCTTAATGTTACTAAGTTTAAAGGTTTTGTTGTTGTTGTTGTTTTATTTTGCTTTAAGGTTACTTTTTTCTTTTTTGGGGGCGTGCCTGGCATCATTGAATAGCCAGTTTCAGATCCAAGTCTGCCCAAAATTTGTTCCACTGTTGCTTGAATATTTAGCATATATTTATAATATATTGCATTACAATATTGGTTACATAGTGAGCTGAGAGATTTTGTTTGAAAAAATGTTACATTTCATTTTAGTAATTTTGAAAATCAAGAATTTTTTTGGAATCTTATAACAAGACAAAAATATAATGGTGCTTCTTACTAACCTTTTTTTCTGGAATAAAATATGGAAACATTTAAATTAAGTATATGCAGATAAAACCAGAGTTTTATTTCTCTTTAAAGCTGTTGTTAAATTTGGTTTGGTTTCTTGTAGAAAAAAAGTTAGAATACAGTGATATTTTTCTTAATCAGAAGAGTTTTATGTTGTGTTTTTTTCTAGAGGTGTTTTAAAGATGGCCCAACTGAATCATAAAAGAGTACTAAGAACCTATTTAATATATGAATGCCTCTGGAGAATATGTCAAATTGCTAATTTGTTATTCTTGCACTAGCAAGACAATGTAATCAAGCCAGAGAATGCTTAGAGTTTGATTTGTTTCCCTTTGGTATAGGTTTTCCACTCATAGTTATCCAAAATCCATAAAAACTTGTGTGTTTGGTGTATTTGTCTTGCTGTCATACTATAGTGATGTGCAAACATGACTGTACTTAAAGTCTTGAGTCTCAGACAGATTCAACGTCATTTACTTTTTTTGCCAACAATATTGGACAACATTAAAAAACAAAATCACTTTCCCAATCTGCTATTGCCATGAGTTGATAGTTACGCTGTCTGCATAGTTGACCACCCACTGAAGCCAAGGCATGTGAAACTGCTGTCCACTAAAATGGGCCTGAAAGTCACGTGGGACCCACCCAAAGATGCTACCAGTAGACCCGTGGAGCATTACAACATTGCCTATGGGAAGTCACTGAAAAGTCTTAAATACATCAAGGTGAATGCGGAGACCTACTCCTTCCTTATCGAGGATGTGGGTAAGTGACACAATGATCTTGTTCCTGGTTAGAATTGGCATGCACCGACATTCTCGGTTACATTCTTAGAATGACTACTCGTGAGGACAACTCATGGCTGGAGTCAAGGTCCCCTGTGATGCTCTGGGCATGGGAGCTGAGTTCTGAGACTCTGGTCAGGAGGCCGTGTTTAACAGCCTGTATGTGGCCGCTGGGCTTCCCCATCTGTGCCTTTGAACTCAAGTATTCCTCTCTCCAAATTGATGTCGCACACAATTTTTAGTTTCTGAATGTGCTTTTGAAAAATATATAGATCATTTTTAGTCTCATAGAAGCTTGACTACTAGACAACTTAGTAGCTTATCTTAGAGGCTTCTAACTTGTAAACCACTTTATTTTGTTATCACTATGGTTATTATTATTAGAGACAGGGTCTCACTCTCACTGTTGCCTAGGCTAGAATGCAGTGGCACAATCACAGCTCACTGAAGCCTCAACTTCCTGGGCTCAAGTGATCCTCTAGCTACAGGCAAACATCAGCATGCCTGGCTAATTTTTTATTTTTTAGTAGAGATGGGGTCTTGCTGTATTGCCCAGCTAGAAATCATTTTATATTCAAGGATTGCTCAAGACGTATGTGTGTGGAATATGTTATGCTTAACATTAAAGATATAACACTTCTCTCCATTTAGATTTGATTTCAGTTTGATTCTGGAAGTTTGGAATATTTTAGGTCTTGCCTAAATATAATATACACCATCTTATAAGTACAGGTGTAGGTGGTTTTGAACTTAGACTTTGAGCTGTCTCTGGATGCTCTGTTTCCTACTTACTGACTCCAGTAGCCTGAAACTCCGTTGATTCTACCATCATGTCATGGCCCAACATCGGATGGATCACAAGGAAGTAACAGAAGTCAGTCTATAGAAATCTAGGTCTTCTCCATGTCACATTAGCATTCTGATCCTGCAGTGGCTCATAATCAGCTCGTGGCTTCTCAGCATCAGTCCCTTGCCCACAGCCCACCATGCTTAGTCCTTCTTCACCCCCCTGCATCTGATATTACACTTTCTGGGCAACAGAGTGGCAAACATATAAAAGGGAGATAAAAGAGGCCAGATTCCCTTCCTTGGAGCTGCAACTCAGTGTCCATTTCCCTGAATCTCTTCCGTATCACTATGGCCCCCGAAGTCCAGCTGCGAGGTTAAATGGAGATTCTGTCAGATCAAAGAAACGAGCAGGAGCATATTTGCTTGCACAAACCTTGGGTGGTTATAACGGCTGCAGGGAAGAAAAACATGGGAAGAAAGCCCTAGAACTCACTGAAAAACAAAATAGTATCTCCCAAGCAACTTTCTGATGAGTTAACTGTATGAGAATCAGAGACATGTGGATTAAATTTCTTTGAAATGCAAACATGCTCAGAGTGAAGAAAGTGTCTGGTGAGGCATGATTTTGCATTCTGTCTGACCCTAGAGCATTTCCCAATTAGTCCAGCAGTTCACGCCAAACCCTAAATGCCACCAGGCCCTGCCACAGTCAGACAGAAGTCACACCGGTCTTGATCACAGTGGGCATCCCAGATGGTGACAACCGAGCTGCTGTTCCTGGGCCTCTGGCTTGAGAACTGAGCGAAGTTTTGCCATAGAAGCGCTCCTCACCTTGAGAAATGTCATTACTGTTCCTACCTTTGACAGAACTAACTCTTACCTCTCCAATCCTTTGTCCCCTGAAGCGCCCACAAACTTTCATCTCTTCGAGGAATTGGCACCTTCACTTACCTGTCACAAGATAATGATTCATTGTGAGAAAAATCAGCCCTAGAAGAAGCTACAAGTTCAGCATATACTCCCTTTATAACATGACTTCTTGGTTTCCTTTTCTATCTCAACAAGTTCAGGAGCTTAGTCAAAGAGACCCCTGTTATTTAACCTTGACTTCAGACAAAAGTCAAAAAAATAAAGCTCAAAGTCAATAAAGATGAACATTTCCAAGATTCCAGGAATACTTTTTTTCTAGCTTTTTGTTGAAATGGTAAAAAATAACATGTAGACCTAGTAAGGGGAACATTTGATTGTGAAAAGGGAAATTTTCATGAAGCTTTATGTATTGCAATGAAGATTTCCCATATGCTCACTTTTATGAATTACACTGGCACTTTTGATTATTTTCTAGAGATTTTCACTTGAAGCTTCTTTGGAGAAATATTATTTGTAGTGACAGACACTCTTTAATATTCAAACACCCATTTAGTGTATAGTACATTCCTATTTCCTACACTGATTTCACATCGCAAACCTCAAAACCTTTTTGTTGACAGCTTATGAATCCAAGTTTATTAGCACGGCATGTACTTTGTACTAAAGAAAGTTTGTATTCTCAGAGTCACGTGTGTTTCGGTTGCATGAGAAGAATGTTAGTGGTTTTAGGTTTTTGCAAAAAGAGAAAGCTATCATTAACTTGTCACTTAATTCAGATTTTTATATTTAGTTATAATTAGTATAAGGAAGATGGTTATTCTTGGTTAGTGACTCAAACGATGTCATTCTTGGAAATTTGAAACGGTGGCTTGATATCAACCATGTGTTTCAGAGCCTGGGGTAGTGTACTTTGTGCTGGTAACTGCAGAAAACCACAGTGGAGTGAGCCGTCCGGTTTACAGAGCAGAAAGCCCACCTGGTAAGTCTCATGTAGAATTGGAGGCTGGTGTTTTGCCATTTAGATCGGGAGAGCTGTCCCTCCTTGCTTCTTCAAGTCAGTATAAATTTAGAATTGTTAAAAAATTCCTGAATAAAGACTTTTTAGACCTGTATGGCAAACTGAAAGATTAAAAAGTAGGAGAGACCTATCCCCTCTTTTAAAATAGTTTTAATGTAGGTGATTAGCATTTTGCCCAAATGTTTGAATACTCACTAGAGTAAACTGTGTGCAAAAGACCAACGATATGTGTTGTGCATACAGCTTAGGTGTCTAGTCACTAATATGGCCTGAGTGGATTCTTTTGGAGTCTGTTGAAAAGATCACTTAAATATGCATTAGAGATGCACTGAAATGTGGAAAATCCAGTAGTCCTCGTTTCTAACTATCGAGTTGCATTTCCCTAATTTAGGAGGTGAATGGATCAAGATTGATGGTTTTCCCATCAAGGGTCCAGGACCATTTAATGAAACCGTCACAGGTACTACTTTCTCATTCATGTCAGAGTCATGTCTTCACTGAAGCAACATCTCACAAGAGGGTGTGCTTCTGTCACGCACATGTGCTCACAAACCTTCATTGAGTTCCCATTGCTAAGCTAACACACATGCCACACAGTCTTGGTCAATCTGTTCTGCACCTGATGAGCCAGACTGTAGCCAGTGTCGCTTATTGTTCACTGTTCTTTCATGTTTGTGGGTGGAGAAGCGTCTGTGTCTACATCTGGGGATATTGTCTCCTGTTAACAGGCAAATATGGTGGTTGAGATGGCAGTACTGGCCTGAATAGGTTATTGGCAGCTTTCTTACCTGTGAATAGCTTAAATGAATGGGAGGCCCAAAACAGTGGCTTTTATTGGCTAATATGTTGCATCAAGTCTTGCTTTTTTCTTACAACCTGGGATATTTTGTGATATGCTAGATAACCTGCCTTCCATCTCTGCTCCATATTTGTGTATCTGTATGTATTATCATTTGGATATTGATGTTGTCTGGTCATATTGTTTTACTTACTGAGAGAAGTGTTGACATTTCTTGTGTGTTTCTTGCATATATTTAATTGATGGTGAGAAAAATGATATAAAATGCATGCAGTTATTTGAGAGTATGGTTGAGTAATCTTCCAAAGACAACATGGTGAGAAGCTGTTTTATTTTCATGTACCATGTGTTTACATACATCAATCTGATGTTATTGTTTAAAGGAAGGTGAGTATATTGAAACCAATGATCCTAATATGGTTTTCAGACCATATTTGGTCGTGTAGGCAGTTTTTGAAGCCCCTGCTATTGACAAAAGGGTAGAAGAATGAAACGATCAGGTGTTCTTGTTCAAATACATTGTACTTGAAGTGACCATGGTTGTTGCAATAGAAATGTCTTGTAGGTAATTTGAAAAGAGAGAATGGAAGTTGAAAGAGGGAAGTAAGAGATAGGCATGGACTAAAGAGTGATACTATGGAGTATCTCTCTATACTACTGGGTAAGACTTAGGCGTGATGTCTATACTATAGGTGTCAACTAAGGAGTGAGGCTGTAGAGTATCACTGTCTACTAAAGGGTGAGAGCTAGGCATAGACTTAGGAGAGATGCTGTAGAGTATCACTCTATATTGCAGGGTAAGAGCTGAGCATGGACTTAGTAGGGAGTCACTCCATATTGTAGGGTAAAAAGTAGGCAGGGACTTAGGGGTGATGCTGTAGAGTATCACTCTATACTACAGGGTAAGAGCTATTTGTGGACTTAGGAGTGATACTGTAGAGTATCATTCTATAATACAGGGTAAGAACTAGGTGTTGACTTAGGAGTGATGCTAGAGAGTATCACTCTATGCTGTAGGGTAAGAGCTACAAGTGGACTTAGGATTGATGCTATAAATTATCGCTATATACTGCAGGGTAAGCACGAGGCATGAACTTATGATGTAGAGTATCACTATATGCTACAGGGTAAGATCTAGACATGGACTTAGGATTGATGCTGTAGCATATCATTATATACTACAGGATAAGACCTAGGCATGGACTTTGGAGTGATACTATAGAGTATCACTCTATACTACAGGGTAAGAGCTAGGTGTGGACTTAGGAATGATGCTGTAGAGTATCACTATGTACTACATGCTAAGAAGTAGACATGGTCTTAAGAGTGTTGCTGTAGAGTATCACTTTATACTACAGGATAAAAACTAGACATGAGCCGGACTCGATGGCTCAGCCTGTAATCCCGTGCCTTTGGGAGGCTGAGGTGAGTGGATTGCCTGAGCCTGTGGGTTTGAGACCCGCCTGGGCAGGCGAGACCTCATCTCTACAATAAATCAAAAAATCAGCCAGGCGTGGTAGCGCATGCCTGTAATTCTGGCTACTTGGAAGGCTGAGGCGGAAGGATCGCCGGAGCCCAGCAGGTCGAGGCTACGGTGGCCAGGAGCGGCCACTGCACTCCAGTCTGGGCGACAGAGTGAGACTCCAACTCAAAAAAAAAGAAAAAAAAGAACTAGACATGAATTTAGAAGTGATGCTCTAGAGTAACTATATACTACAGGGTAAGAGCTAAACATTGACTTAGGAATGATGCTTTAGAGTATATACTACAGGGTAAGAGGCATGGACTTGGACCTGATGCTACAGGGTAAGATCTAAGCTTGGACCTTGAGCTGATGCTAAATAATATAACTCTATACTACAAGGCAAGAGCTAGGTGTGGACTTTGGAATGATGTTATAGAGTACCACTTTATACTACAGGGTAAGAGCTAGGCATGGACTTTGAGCTGATGCTATAGAGTATCACTCTATACTACAGGGAAGAACTAGGCATGGACTTAGGATTGATGCGTAGAGTATCACTTTATACTACAGGATATGAGCTAGGCATGGACTTAGGAGTGATGCTGTAGAATATCACTGTATACTACAGGGTAAGAGCTAGGCATGAACTTTGGAGTGATGCTATAGAGTATCACTCTATACTACAGGGCAAGAGCTAGGCAGGGACTTATGAATGATGCTATGAAGTATCACTCTACACTTCAGGATAAGAGCTGAGCATAGACTTGAAAATGATGCCATGGAGTATCTCTCTATACTACAGGGTAAAAGCTATGTATGGACCAAAGAGTATTGCTACAGAGTGTCACTCTGTACTACAAAGTGAGAGGTAGGCATGGACTTAGGAGAGATGGTATGGAGTATGACTACTACAGGGTAAAAGCTAGGTATGAACCTAGGAGGGATAGTATAGAGTATCTCTCTACTACTGGGAAAGAGGTAGGCATGGGCTTTGGAGTGATGTTAGTGTATTACTGGGTACTATAGGGTAAGAGCTAGGCATGGACTTAGGAGTGATACGATGGAATATCACTCTGTACTTCCTTGTAAGAGCTGGACATAGGAGTGACTGTATAGAGTATCACTTTATCCTACAGGGTAAGAACTAGTCCTGGACTTAGACGTCAGTATTGAAGTAGAGAAATTGCATGCATGCGTGAATATTGGGAGAGAGAAGATTTGGAGATGAAGGATCAAATGATGGAAAACATTGACAGCAAAATGGTCAAGAAATTAGTACAGATAGGAAGTGAGTGTGTAAAACAGGAAAGGAGGTTTATTTCAAAAGTTTCTTACTCCCAAAGATACACATGTAAACAGACACACATGAACCTTTTACTGATGAATGTCTGTGCCTTGTATTTGAATTTTGTATTTTAAATAATCATTTTAGTTGTATAATTTTCCTGATAAAATTTCTGAATGAAAGTCGTATTTGAAAAAGTAATTTCCTTGCTTTTTCATGAGTAATTAATTTCTTATGCCTTCTTTAATAGAAATGTGTATGTGCACACTTGTCCTTTCTGAGTGAGCCAGCAGAAATCCCAGGGATCAGGGATCAAACAGAATCATGATCCAGCTCATTACTGGTTTTATGTACTGTGAGATTATTTAACCTCTCTCTGCAGGAGCCTTTATAGGCCTTGGTTGCCAAAGCACTCTGCTATAATTTATGATTCTCCATTTGTCATACATTATGATTTAAAAAGATACTAGAAGAAGTTGCTGGCTGAAACCACTTGAAGTTTATTATGTAAAACAGAACTTAAAAGAAAAAAGACTATCTAGAATGCACAGATTAGTTTAAAGTGCTCCAGGAAAAAAAACTACATTTCATTGTTAATAAAAACAAGACCAATTTATATAAAATTATCAATAAGTTATCAATATGTTATCTATTCCTTTTTTGTGAGACTTGGAAAACGTGCTATCCTGTTGTTCTGAGGAGTGATTAAATATATGATAACCTTGTAGAAGTATTTAGAATTCCACATGTCTTTATTCAAAGGAAGGGATTTATCCTTAAAATGCAGGCATTAGCATGGGCACCTGGTATAAGGCCCAGAGGGGTTCACTTTAGTGCTTTGACTGATAGCATCTCATGTTCTTCCAGTGTTTTATTAGAAACCAGAAGAAAATCCATTATTTTATGCTACTGGAAACAATGGTTTCAGTTCTACTTCTAGAAGGCCTCCTTTTACTAGCTTAGACATATCTCAACTGAATTGTTCTTAACCTAAAAAATAGGACTTAAATTATTATTATTATTATTATTTTTAGGATGAACAAACAATTTGTTTTTAAAGATGTGGGGTATAGTTCAGGGTTAGGTATACAAATGTTCATTATGCAGGTACCCTTGTTGATAAGGTGTGCCTCTCCCTCCCCTGGCAGTTTCCCTTAGCTGCCAATCTCACCCCCTCCCCTGGCAGTTTCCCACTACCACCAATCCCCTTCTTATAGTATTATGATAATTGTTCAAGGTCTGCTTATGAGTGAGAACATATGGCACTCTGTTTTTTGTTCTGTGATAGTTCACTAAGTATGATAAGACTTTAAATCCATCCAAGTTGTTGTGAAGCCTATATGTTTGTCCTTCTTTATGGCTGCATAGTATTCCATTGTGTATATGTACCACATTTTTTTAACCAGTCCAGCTTTGATGGTTGGTTTCATGTTTTGCTATTGTGAATAGAGCTGCAACAAACATGCATGTGCAGGTGTCTTTTTTGTAGAACGATTTGTGTTCCTTTGGGTATATTCCCAATTGGGGAATTGCTGGGTCATATGGAAGGTCAATTTCTAGTTCTATCAGAAATCGCCACACTGTCTTCCAGAGAGGTTGCACTAGTTTGCATTCCCACCAGCAGAATAGAAGCATTCCTTTTTCACCACCTCCTCGCCAGCATCTGTTGTTGTTTGTTTTATTAATGATGGTCATTCTTACTGGGGTTAGGTAGTATCTCAGTGTGGTTTTGATTTGCATTTCTTTGATGGTGAGTGAGGCTGAGCACTTTTTCTTATGTTGTGTCTATTGGCTGCCTCTATAACTTCTTTCGAGAAGTGTCTATTCATATCTTTTGCCCTCTTTTTAATGGGGCTTTTTTTTTTCTTTTCTTCTCAGCACGTTTGAGTTCCTTGTAGATCCTAGATGTTA